TCTGTTATAGAATAATTTTGTAACTGAGCTAAGTATGCAAATATAAACACATAGAGGACTTTAAGAAACAAGAAAATGCACAAATAAAGAGCAAAATGATGTTAAATGTAAGGAAAGGATTATTCAGCAGCTCACTTTACAAGGATGATCTTAGATTTGTTCTGGATCTAAAGATCACAAATGCTCTGGAATCTAAAAACTTAACCCTAATCTCTGCAGCCCTTGAAGATCTAAAACAACTGGCTACTTTTTAATCAATGACTTACGTTGAAAAGTGATAGGGTCAATGTGCAAATGACTATTAGCATTTGCAATTTTTTTTTAAAAAGGATAGTAGTAGAAATCATAAGTACTCTTCATTGGCAACTTCTCTCAAGTAGATATTCCTACCAACGGGAAAAGCCAGTAGCATTTTGTATTAACGTCCGTAGCACAAATCCATGCACACTTAAAGTTCCAGTTACAGGAGAATATAAATGGCTCCTATTGCACTTTTCTTAGCTTCTTTTCATCTCTGAGGATATCTTAGATCATAATGAGAATGATCATGTCCCATTAACTTTGATACTCAGCAAGTCTGTTCTTTGGCTTCTGTTCAACCATACGAAAATCAGAGTGGTACAAGAGGTGAAAGTTGAGAAAAGGGCTCTCTACAGGCTTAAGTTAAGTATCTTCAGGGCCCACACTCCTAATGCCTTTTGAAACTAAACTTTCTGTTTTCTGATAGAAAATTCCAAGAACAATAACAGCAAAATGAAATCAGTCTACGTTCACAGGAAGTTATATCACCTGACCACTTTAGGCACCAACTCTGGAAGCCACAGTCCATGTCTTGTTACACAGTGACTCTACAATGTGTGAGTGTGGCAGGGTTTGGTTGTGCTTGTATAAGATACCATTTGTTTCTACATGACAATCAAACGTGTAAATGAGGAAATATTCATGATACATGCCATAGTCATCTAATTCCTCCAGAATTCTGTTTGATTGGCTGGGTGAGGATCATCGTCACTCTCCTACCCCAACCTCCCGAGCTCAAGCCCTCGTATTGGTGAAAAGAATCCAAAGACTAACTTAGAGGAGAACGAAACAGAAGTGATAAGGGAGAGGAGAGAGAAGGAAAAAGAAATGACAGAAGGCCGCAAGCTGCAGGACTCTTCCCCTGGTTTCTCTCATAGACTCGCGGAACCTCTTTGTAAATATTGTTTCTTTCATTCTAGATTCTATTCCCCCAGAGTTTAACATCGATCACTATTTATGACTGTGTTGTGAACTACTGAAAAAAATAAATCTTAGACGTTGAAATTTGCATTTGTAGGAAATGCGCCAGTTCATGAAATGAAAGATAGTTGAACAACATGTGTCCGTGGGACGATAACAGCTTTGGGTTGGCTCCAAGCCCAGCGTTGGCACTTTCTAGCTGAGAGAGCTTGGGGGCAAGGGATTCATTCCCTCTGGGTCTCAGATCCCTCGTTTTTTAAAATGGGGGATGATAATACCTATTTTAAAAGGGCTGTTTCAAAGAGTGATTACAATGCTGTCTGTGAAGCTTCTGCAGTCCTTGCATGAGGGCACGGTTAATAAATGTCAGTCCCTGGTCTCTGTTCCCTCCTCCTCTTCCTTCCTTCCTTCCTTTCCCTTCTGTCACCTCCCACCCCTTCTCACTCCTTTCCTGTCCTTCACCACAACAAAGAACATGCCAGCAGGTTCTGAGCGTGAAACCCATGCACACGTGAGGCTCTTGTTGGCTTGTACAACATGGTCCGCTTTTCCTGAGTTGTCTCAGACCCTCTTGGGCCCTGGGCCACGAGCTACTACAGAGTTCTACACACTGCTGTGACCAGCACCCTGAGGTGCCACGTTACTGAGCAGGACCCTGCTTAGTGATGAGATGCATGGACACACAGGATGTGTGAGCTCCATTTCCCAGCATCTCTCGCCTACTGACTTTTGGTCAAGTCTGGCAAAATAGAGCAAACTAATAAGAAACAGAAGAGAAGGAGAAGAGAGAAGTCCTCCCCACTTCAGGGGTCTCCCGGCCAGCTGCCGAGCTCTGCTGTGGCCCCTCTGGCCCTGAAGTGGAACCTGATGGTTGATTTTGCTCATCTTTCTGTTGCCTCGGTGCCCCTTCTCACTTGTATAACCAGTTTCTTCTATTAAGTTTCCCCTATGGAGCCACCTGGCATGGGCTCTTGTTCTCCTGACTAGACCCTAGTGTAACATATAACAATAAAAAATACTACCTTATTTATCACTGTTTGTGGTAAGACTGAAGCCATTCTCTGTCTCTGTAGGATATTTTAAGGCATACTTGTATCTCTAAAAACCAACAACAAGAAAATCAGACTTTTAACTATTCCAAAGGAAACTATCATTAGAAACTCTTATGGGCTAAAAGAAAAGATATCAAAAATTATTTTAGCAATGTAAATGGCATTTGACATTTTAAAAAAAAAGGTGTATCTCTCAGTTGATACAAGCTCATGCGCTCCAATCCCCGGGCAAGCTGCCTCTCTGTCTCCCTTCTTTGCAGTGGCCACTGAGATCTGGCTCTATGCATCCTGGGCCTGGTAGGTGGCAAATTAGTGATCTCAGAGTGTGCACACTATTCTTGCTATTATTTGGGAAATGGGATTCAAATTTCATTTGTTTCAATACCTCCCATGGTGCTGAGGGAAACAAACAAACATCCCCCCTCACCGAGAATAGACCTGTTGAGAACCGGTCTATTTTTCTCCTGCAGGGTACACAACATTTCTAAAATTGGCCCCCAAGAGCTTTGCATTTACCCTGAGTGCTCTATGGCGGCTCCTCAGTGATGTCTGGGATTGCCTTTGATAAGCCTGCAAGGGCGTAGCCTGAACATGATCCTGGAAATAACTGCGGTGTCTAGGTAGAGAGATACACGCAGACAACCTTGCCTCTGAACTGGAGAGAACAAAGCCTCTCTTCTGAGTGTGCAAAGAAGAACACAAACAGGATGTGAGCACCATTCTCGGCCTGCCAGCAGTTGAGTAATAGGAGGGTTTGTAAAAGGGAGCTGCAGTGTAGGGAATCCTTGGAATATTTTCTTTTTTTAAACTTTATTCAAATTAATATGAGGGTATAATATTTAGGTTACATTGTTCTTACTTCCAGGGCAAAGTTGGAATAGTTTCTTTATTTCTGCCAGCCTTTTTTTTCCCCCTCAGACTCTGCAAAACCAATCTTTGCAGGTCCACAAACTGTTTCCCAGTGCTTGTCTACACAGCCCATTCAATGCACATCCACACCCTGGAAAGGAGGCCTCAGTCAAATACGTGATGTCCTCTGGGCGAAGGACATGAGCCCGGCTTCCGTGTTCTCCCCGCAGTGAGATTCACTCTACAGATGTCCTGCAGTTCCCCAACATCCAGAAAAGATGTTGCAACCATAATGTACTGGTCTGGCATCTCATGACGGCAGGCAAGGGGAAGTTTGGGGCGTCTGGCTTTCAGAGGACATAGTCCATAACACCAGTCAGCCTCGTGTGGAAGTATTCCACCCGGACAGGAATCGGAAGTGGATTCTGAGCGAGAAGCTGGGCTGTCAGAGAGCTCAAATGTACTGGCGTGGTTGTATTCTTACCCCACTGTAATGCTGTGCACTCACTGGGAGAAGTCAGAGTCCCTGTGTCTCCTGAGTGCCACACACTACCCCAGCCACGTACGACATCTGGGCCAAATCTCCCTGCAATCCAACAACGTGGGGATTTGCCATGGCCACGCAGGAGGCCTGCAGCACCCTTTCGGGGCATAGTCCATTCTGATTGGCTGGTTGTCCCAACAGTTATCAGAAATTTTGAATATTCTGCAGAGAAGGCATATGATGTTTAAAACTAAGGCAATTCATCTCTGAAGTTTGTTTCTCCCCTCCCCTCAAGTGGTTGGAGTTACAGAAGAGTTTGAGTCCCCCAAGACAGATCTTCTGAGCTGTAAAAGGTGCAGCAGATTCCAAAGCTCCCAGCTTCTTTACTCAGTGGAGATAAGGGTTTTCTTAGCCTCCATACCCAACTTAGGTACTCTGCGAGTACATTCTTGTGCACTACTCAGGGCATCTCCCCTGCGTGGGTGGCTCTGTGGTCCCTGTGCAGAGAGTGTCACAGCAGCAGCAGCACAGTGGGGGCCAGGGCCTCACACACCACCTCCTCCATTTCCAGCTGTGCTGCGTGACATTTACGTGACAGCCTGTCTGTTCCCCAAGATGAATCACAGAAAATTAGAGATGGGAAAGACCTATTAGGTCATCTAATCTGCACCCCTGCCAGCTCACAATCACTCCTCAGTGCTCCATTTCCGAGTGCATCATCTAGTTTGGTTTTAAATAGTGTGGGACACAGAGAGTGTTGCTTCCTTGACTTTTCCGATGAAAATTCTCTCCAGGACACCCAGCCGAGGCCTTAATATATGATGCCTGTTTACTCTGGTTTTATATATATAGGAATGTCATGGTTTCTCACATACCCCTCCTCACCACTCCCCTTAATATTATGCTACTGAAAATAATTAGAAAAATACTCTCTGGGATAGAAAAAAATACCAGTTTCAGGAGAATCAAAGGACTTGGTGGAGAAAAGGGAAAGGATAATGAGAGCGTCTACGTTACCTCATTTCAACTTCTGGTATTTTGGTTACATGCTCATTTAGCATTGCTCAGCTTTCGGTTTCTTTAACAATAGCTAGAACTGTGACTAAGCAGTATTATCAGTTTTGGTTTCCACATTCACTTCTGTTTCAAGTTTTAATTTGATTATTCATCCCCATACTGCCTTAAGATCCCATCCATCACTGCTATTCAAATATTCTAATAGTTTGCTTACTAATCTGTCTTTTAAATTTTAGTTAAACACACAAGCAAAAACTCTAAGCCTGGCACATCCTTTCTGGATAATCTTGTTTTAAACAATGTCTGTGCTTTTCCTTACTAATGCCCAGGTGGTAGACCTCCTCACAGACACCACCAAGAATGCTCTGGGGGCTTACCTTAATTTGTCCCTTCAAGCAAGGCTCACTGCACACAGACCGGACCATCCCGCTCCGGTTCATCTGGATTTTGTAATCATCGATGTTCAGCACTCCTTCATGCCAGGTGCCAACATGTACGTAATCATAGCGATTAGCGTCTGTGTACTGCAGATTCATGATGTCATACCTACAAAGAAAATACCATGTCTTACAAGGATGTAGACAAAATGCAGACAACAAAGAAAACAGGTAAAAAGGCAATAACGGAGAATAGGGAGATACAAGTTAGAATTGTCCCACTTCCTGACACTAGCTACTGCCAACATTTCAGTTTATTTCTACACTTCCTATGACTTTCCAGAATGTCTATTCCATTCTTCATCTTGGTGTATCTAAAGAGGCTAAAGAATATATTATTTTTGTACTTTTCTCTCTGTTTATGCTCCAAAAAATGTAATTCTATATGTGCTAAGTTGATCATTTTCTTGAAGTTATTATTCACTAAGTTATTCTTCATACAAGACACAATTGATGAAAACATTAACTTATTTGATTACTTTAATCTATATTTCTTTTTTGCATTCAGTTGCCATTTTTTTCCCACTGGATTAAAATGAATAAGTTTTATCAAGTCTGGAGCCTTTCTAAGGTGCTAATAGAGCAAGAAGTCTGAGGAAGGCATCTTTAATTAGTAAGGATGTTGGAGACTTAACATTGTGAATGTTGACATTTAAACTAATCTCTTCCCTGATTAGGGCAAGTATTTTTGAAACCAAATAATTGGTGTTTGTTATTTCAGTAATTTCAAATGTTGGAATGTGACACAATGGCAAAATCTTCATTTAGAATACTTCTAATAGAATACTATGTATTTACAGTATATCAAAGATATGTTGTACAGCATCTGTCTGCACACACACACATATATATGTACATATATATATACATAACATGGATGAGATTGGTACCCATATAAAAGCACCCCAAGAAAGTGCTCTTGTGCCTTCCACCACGTGAAGACACGATTACAAGGAACATCTATGAGCTAGAAAACAGCCATCAGCAGACCCGCTGGCATTTTGGTCTTGGACTTCCCAGCCCCCAGGACCATGAACAAAAAATTTCTAATGTTTCTAAACCAAACAGTTTGTGATATTTTAACAACCCAAATGAACTAAGGCAATGTGTAAGGCAACATCGTGATATCATTCACGTTGGTATTACTATGAATGCCCTAAAATACTCTGATTATTTCATTACAATAAGAGAAATGGAAAATATCTATGTGTTGGCCTAGCCATTTATATCTCAGTTGGAAACTTTTGGGTATTCTTACATCTTCTTTCCATATCACTATTCACTTCAAGTAAACTATGACTAACTGAAAGTTTCCCAAAACCATAAGTCCAGCTCCCCCTCACTGGCTCTGCAAAGTGAGATTCTTTTGTGGAACACCTACATACAGTCCTTGCCCCCTGGCTGGAATGTGAGTCATGGCTTCTTGCTCTTTATGCTTGACCCGAGGACATAGATGGCAGTGAACAAACGCACATTCTTCTTCTTCAGCTCTCTTCCTTCCCCTGGTCTGCCCGTGCCCCTGCCTGTCCATCCCTCTGCTCCCCTATGCCCCCGCCTCTTTAAATCTGACTCATATGCACAGTCCTTCTCAGCGCAGCCTTCCAGAAAGCTACACCAATTGAAGTTGGTGTCTGAAACCGATTGGCTGTATCTAGCTTCATTCATTAACTAGACAATGAGCATCCACTGATTGGCTTTTCTGCCTGTTGTTAATGTGCAAATGCATCCGTCACCCACAGAGTAGCTGGTGGCTTCTTCACATCCAGATTCTAGCAATTTCTACAAACATCTACCACCTAAAGCTAAAGCGGACTCTGAGCGAGCAAAGGAAATTCTCCCCTGCCAGATGAGCTGAATTCACCTAGAGAGAGAAGAGAGCAGGGCACACCTGGAGCAATTGTTCATCTCTTTGCTGTTCTGACTTTTGGCTAATAGAGAGTTATTATCTCTTTTATTGCTGAGATGCACCAGAACGTCTTCAGAGCAGCTCTAAGGAATAGCCACATGGGTACTGGCGGTGGGCGGATAGCTCACACTCATCTTGTTGATCAATGATGTTAACCTGCACCTCCAATATCTTTCCATTTAAATTCATTACAGCTATAGAACCTGCTGTGAATGTTTGGTGTGAGTAAATTTCCTTTTTCATTCTCATTAATTTTTGCATTTTACTCCGTATCACATCATGACAGAGGCTTTCAATGAAGCCTTTTCTGCAATGCTTGTCTTAGAATATCTTTTCCTTTAAATCATTTCCTAAGGCTGCTATTTCAGCTATGTTATTTGCTCTTCCATAAGGGAAATCAGTTCACACTTCATTAGCATTTAGAAACAGAAAAATTCACAATATTTGGCTATGAAAACACATTTTTTTAAAATCCAAAAAGGTGGAAGAAAAATACTAAAAGATACCCTGGGAAAAATACTGACTTACTAAAAGGAGACCTCCCCTTCACTGTGTGTGCTCCTGAACACTGCACTGTACTCTTGACCCCAGTGTCCCTTCCAGGCAAGTTGGCCCTGATTTGGCAGATCTTCACGCTATACATTACATCTTACAGCATCCTCTCATTGCAGCCAGTTTATGTTGCATGATGATCAACTGAAATAATTACAGGAGGGACCAGAAGCACAAATGATGACATGATAGGAAGTAGAAGCAAAAAGAGATGGTTCAAACCGGGACTGAACATAGATTAAGTTGACCGATTTCAAGCAGGAAGTAATGATCCTGAGAAAAGACCCAGAGAAAGCTCATGATCTGAAGTTTAATTAAAGATGGAAAAGAAACAAGCTAATGGTGTGAACCTACAATTGGGACAACTTAGAGAGAGAAGAGGAAAAAAGTTGAATTTGTAAACTGTGTGAAGCACACTGTGTATGTTAACCTTTTGGAAGCATGAAGAAAGGTTCACATTCCAAATCTGACCCTGTACTGAGCCTAATTTCCAGTGGAACACAGGATTACAACAGTGGGTTTAGAGGAATGGGTGCCAAGATTATAAATCTCAGACCCACTTGTTGCTCCTGGGACTGTTTCCTCAAAGGTTTCCATATGCTCAGGTGCTGGATCATTTATCCATTCTGCTCACATTCCAATCAAAATGTGCTCCCACCTACTGGCAACTTAGAAAGCATTGGATGAATTCATCATCTTAATTGTTGACAATGACATACCATTTCTTTTCCTAAGGCTGTTGGATTTTGACAGGGAGAACTCATTTAGCCCTCACAAGATACTCCCTCAATGGAGAACTTCAAGTTCACATAAATAGAAGAGACACATGGAGAATTATTGATGCTGAAATAGTCCCTTGGACTACTGCTGAAACGACATTAAAAAAGTTTCCAGCCATTGTGTGTCATCTCAGGATCAGCTGTTAAGAAAAGTGTGATGTAAGCACTTTGAGTCTCAGAGTCAGACCACACTGTCTCCACTGCTGCTGTCTATGTGACATTAGGTAAGTTTCCTAATTTCTCTGACACTCAGTTTGTTATCTGTAAAAAAAGATAATGGCATCCATTCAGTGTGAGGATTAAATGATTTGAAGTTCCATTTTAACACAGCATATGCTTTCCTAAAAGCTCTAACTCTGAAAAAGTATGGACCGAAATATAACAGGGCCTGCGGGACTGTGGGCAGACTGTGCATCAGCCATGCAGGGGGCCCTTTTATTTCCTGCTGCAGATCTTCATTCCTCCCCTCCTGTTCTGATTATCTCTTTCCAAGGAAAATGTATATGCATGAGCACAACTGCTCTAGACTCTGACACCATCTCCATGTGCCAATTACGTGTTAGCTAACCAGTGTTACCAAAACACTGTGGAGCAGACTACATGTAATATAAATATCAAATGACTTAGGGAAGATTTTATATATATATATATATTTAATATATGTATATAAAATATATATATGTATATACACATACACAGACACACAGTCACACACACACACATAGGTTTAATTTTCCTTTGCTTCTTTTTTTGGTTTGAAAGCCACGGGGACTCAATTCTAAAAAGAAAGTCCTTCCTTTTCTTGTTCTAAGAAACTGGTTGGCAAAAACATAAGTTAGCCTAAGAAATAGGGGCCCATGTGCAGGCTTGATTATCTTCACGTATTAAGTTCTTCAAGGCAGTGTAACACTAGAGTAGCATTGCAGCCAATCAGAAAGATACAGGCTGGTACCCAGAGCGCTGGGTTGTTGCATGGTCAGGTGTGAGCTCTTTAGTTTCCTGGACCCGCAGGGAGGTCCCTGGCATTCTGACAAAAGAGCTGCATGGTTGCTAGGTAGGCATGCGCGCTTACCAAGAAATATTTTATCATTTTTTTTAAGTGGTATGGTCTTGGTAATTGGTTGCTGGGTAGGCATGCATGTTTACCAAGAAATATTCTATTATTTTTTTTAAGTGGTATGGTCTTGGTAATTTCCATCTGGTATTATGTGTTTTTAGCTATAAAATTGCTTCTACCCTAACACCCAGAAAGCATTAAACCAAATGAAACCACAGGTGCCCTGTCTCTGGCTAGTGGAGGCTCGTACATTATTTGGATTCAGTACCAGAAAGACGGCTTTACCTTCCAGGAGCGTCCCCCTTCTCGTCAAACCACACCTCCTCCCCAGACACACCGATGAAGGAGGACTTGATGAGGAAGTCGAGCAGCTTGCTGCCGTCAATGGGCTTCATGGCGTCGCACAGGCCCACGTGGCCCGGGCAGAGCGCGTGGTGCATGTTCTGTAGCCCGTGAGCCATGGCGTAGATGGCGTTGATGACGAACCCCATCTTGCTGTCCTGCACGTAGTTTTCTTCCAAGCTTTCGTTGCCTGTAACAATAGGGACAGATAACTACGGAGGTCACAGTAATAAGGTCCAGGCCTGCAGTTTAATCCCAAAGGCTTTTTAGGGTTCTCAAAGCAAAGTGCATTGACGTTGGCAAAAGCCAACAGGAGGCTTTGTATGTGCGGCTGGCTCCGGGAGAGTCTTGCTGCAAAGGGCTTGACCTGTTTCACTTTCTCTATTCAATAATGGTTTTATGAGGTATAAAACAAACTCCATAGAGGTGAATAGTGAAAATAAAGAACTTTCAGATATCGGAAGGAAATCTTTAAGGAGCAATGGAAATAACTCATTCCTTCTTGTTTCACAGGAACCTATATTAAAAGTTTTCCTGTATCACGGGGCTGGAAAGGCATTTCTTTGGTATCTCCTATGACTATCCACGGTTCATTGTAACTCGGTCTGCACATTTCCCAGGATATTGTGTTTTGACGATTCTGCTATATTTATCATCTCTAGAGCCAGAAAACCTCAGGGACAGAAAAAGAACTGGGTAATATAAATCACTTCTTATATATGCTTAGCAGGGTAGAAATACTTAAATTAGATTTGCTAATTATTAGAAACTCAGGAAAAAAGGTTTTTGATGGGAGAGTCATACTACACATTAATTTTAGACTTTTGCTATTAATTTCCAAAACTCTGTGATCATTTCTACTTAAGTTATCGGTGATCAGAAATTCCCACCTGCTGGTCTCATAAGAACAGTTTTGCATTAGATATAAGCTCCGTGTTGGAGCTAAATTTTAGTTCTGTAGTAAATTTAGTAAGAACTAAATTTTACTTCTTACATATGGATGGGAAATTTGGGGACCAATTGGATTTGCTGAAATAAAGGTAACATGTTTGGAAAACAAAACATATTTGGAGCACATCATGACCGCAATTAAGGGACTTTGTATTTCAGTTGTAGAAATTTGATTCTTTCTTTCTACAGTGGTATTTTTCTCCCTCCACTAAGAGTGAGGGTCTATGTGATTAACGTACTAAAAATTGGGAACACTGGCAAACTCAGCTGCTATGGCGCTGAGAACAAAATGAGGCTTGAGGCACTCCCTGCCAGCTGCCCTCTTCACCTCAGACTAAATAGGTCACTGGACACCATGGTTCCTGCACCAAAGACTACCAGAGAGTATTTAGAAAGTTAGAGAGGTTGGATCGTTAGAAGAAAGGGTAAAGAGTTTTGGCTTTGGTATTGAACCTGGGATGAAAAGGGATGTTTTTAAAGAGTTCTATTTAAAGGCTGATCTATTTAGATATAGTTGAAAATGCAAAAAAGCAGCATGTGTATGTCTGCCCTAAAATGAGATACAAAATACCCCGTCCAGGTTGAAGGGGGGAAAGATTAGATTTTAACCCTTCTTCCTGATTCACTTGATCAGACATCATTAGCAATGTCATTTTCTAAAGTAACATTTTCCTGATTGAAAGGAAATTTTCCTGGAGGAAATGAGGAGTACGAGAGGCAGGAAGGGCATTTTAAATCGAACCCACAAAGAATCAGTATAGAAAGTTACATAAGACAGAAAGCAAAGATCCACCTTCTAAAACTCACAAAGTCATTGAAATAGGGAATTTACGTCTGTCACCAAGAACCCCTGGCCCTTCATGCTAGTGCACTCTCCCTCCCTCTCCAAGCTTGTTAGGATAAGGAAAGCAGTACATTTGCGCCTTCTGGCTGATAAATTTTAAAGAAGCCCCTGTAGGTTTGCCCAAGTCCCCAAATGCTAAAACTACATATTTAAGCTACTAGAATCAGACCAATTACCAGTTTACAAAAAGGAAAAGAAAGAAAAAAATTGAGTAGCCCAATAACTTTCTGTGCAGTAGCCACTTCAATAGTCCTAGTCAATACTGAAACCATCTCCTTAAAGTCACAGCTATTGGAGTCAACACCAGGACCAAAGTGTAGGAAAATCTCAGAACAAACACACAGTGTTCTGTACCATATGGAAAATTCTCTTCTGGGGACAAGCCTTATGGCCCCGAGTCTGCAGTTCTTGTTATGATAATTGCTATTTAAGATGCATTTTACATAGTAGATAAAACATTATGTTGGTGTCCCCGGTACAGATTTCTTAAGCCAATGGTTGTTTTCACATTTCTGTGAGATTAAGCTTTCTTTTTTATTCTTCCTTTTTTTTTTTTTTTTTTTTGAGACAGAGCCTCAAGCTATCCCCCTGGG